TTGTCCTGTTCTTTTAATTGAGATGGAGATTCCTGTGTCCTAGGCGGGCCTAGACACTTCTGTGTAGATGAAAATGACCTTGAGCTTTAGATTCTCTTGGTACCAGGCCCAGTTTTATGCAGGGGTGGACCCAGAACTTGGTACACAATGGGCAAGTTTCCACCAGCCGCATGGAGAGGGCTTTTCTAGCCCCCATTACTCAATGTCCTCATCTTCCTCTGGTAATGCTGTCTCCTTTGCTTGTTGCTAGGCTGTTGTTACTGCTGTCTAGAGAGATGCTAGGGCTGCAAATAATCCTCATTAGCACCCTGACTGATCTTGGGGTTTATCAGCTCCTGGTTGGCTTTCTGTTGTCAGTGGGGTTTTTGGTGAAACTTCAGTGATGTTATGATGTTTGGGTAACTAGTTTCTACAGAACAATCTTTGCTGTTAGCTACCAGTTTGCCTAAATGTCCCCTTCTTGCAGGACAGATGTCTCACTGAGAGTGGCAAGCAAACCCAACCGTAGTGAAGCGCTGGGAAGGAGTCATTCTGCTTGACGACATTGAGAGCTAAAGCAGATCTTACTGATTTGGCAGCTTTTAGAACATACCCAGTGCTTACTGGGAATGCCTGGCAAAGCCCATTAAAAGAGTGTAGTCCTGTGCTCTCTTTGCTTTTCTGGATAGAGTTTCTCTGTGTAAACCATGCTGGCCTTGTACTCTGCTTGCTCTTGCCTCCCAAGTGCTGGGAGTGTGTTGATTTGAATGTTTTAAGTCAGCAGGAAAGATGGGTGCAAACTTCCTCCTACATCAGGGGATCCCAGTGAGCAGGTAAGTCAACCAGACTGACAGTTGGGACTGGTTGACAACCAGGTGTTGCCAGTAATTCAGAAAGTGCAGCAGGCTCTTGGCGCAGGGAGCAACTTCTCTATTGAAGAGAAGTCTGGGCAGTCCTGGAGGGTGAGCAGCTGTTGCCAGCTGTGGAAGATGCTGTGGCAGTGGATGCGTTTATAGCTTTCCCTTAAGCTGCTTAGATGGAGTTAAGCTCTGGGGCCATGTGTAATGTGCACCAGTTTTCAGATAGAAATAAATCTAAGAGATGCATCTGATCTTCTTATCAGAAGAAACAATACTCAGCTCCTGCCTCATTCTGGGGGAAAATGGAAAAGCAGCCAGGTGGGTAGAGGGGGTGAGGCTACAGGAGGTTATGAATTTCAAGATTAGCCTGGGCTACATGGTAAGATCCTGTGTCAAGAATAACAGCTGGTTGTGGTGGTTTATATACCTTTAATTCCAGCATTGCCGAGGCGAAGGCAGACAGATCTCTGAGTTCAAGATTGGACAGGGCTACATAGTAAGACCTTGTCTCAAAAATCTTTTTTTCTTTTTTTTTTTTTTCTTCTCGAGACAGGGTTTCTCTGTGGCTTTGGAGGCTGTCCTGGAACTAGAGAGCGGGCTGGTCTCAAACTCACAGAGATTCACCTGCCTCTGCCTCCCAAGTGCTGGGATTAAAGGCGTGCGCCACCAACGCCTGGCCCTTTCTTTCTTTCTTTCTTTCTTTCTTTCTTTCTTTCTTTTCTTTTTTAATTCTATTTTTTTAAGGTTTTATTTATTATGTATACAACATTCTGCTTCCATGTATATCTGCACACCAGAAGAGGGCACCAGATCTCATAATGGATGGTTGTGAGCCACCATGTGGTTTCTGGGAATTGAACTCAGGACCTCTGGAAGAACCATCTTTCCAGCCTCCCTCCCCCCCATCTTTTTTTTTTTTTTATAATTAATTAAAAGAGCTCACAAAGTATGTACAGGTGGAAGCTTTCACCCAAGGAGTATGAGTAGCCTTTGCCTTTGTCCAGTAGAAGGCTGACAAAGCAAGCCTGTCTGTACCAGGAGCAGCCAGATAGCGAGGCTCTCATCAAAGACACAAGATCATTCACAAGTGTGGAGCTCCACTGAAGAAAATTCCTGTTGACACCAGAAGCTTCCAGGAGTTCCCTCCTAACCAGAAATAAGTCTCCTGCAGGGCAGCCTGCCCATGTTTCTGGCCAGGAAGGCAGAGATCCCACCATCTCTTCCTGGAGTCCTCTTGTCTTGTGGATCTGGTGGCAAAGGAAAGCTTTTATTGCTTGACTGCTATTCCTGCCCTCTCCCAAAGGCTTAAGCAGGGCTGCTTCATCTCTCAGAATTGTCATGCCTGAGGTACATGCTCAGCCTAAACTATACAACATAGAGGGTACTGGTGAGAGATGGCTCAGTGGGTAAAAGTGTAAGCCTCGAGACCTGAGGTAAATCCTTGGAAACCCACCCTACAAAAGGGTGGAAGGAGAGAACCAACTCCACAAATTTGTCCTGAACTACACTCGCCCTCAAACCTCCCCCATAATAAAATTTAGGGGGGTGTGCTGGGGAAGATGGCTCAGTCTGTAAAAATTGCTGTAGAAACAAGATTGGAGTTTGGCTCCACCAGAATCTACTTTTTAAGGTTTCTGTTACCCCAGTACTTGGGGCAGCAGATACAGGATCCCTGAGTCTCCAGTATAGCCAAAAGTGAGGTAGAGAATAGAGAAGGAAGGACGCCAAAGGGTATCAGTCAACTCCCATCCCACACGTTTCTGTCTTTCAGTCCAGTTATATTGGGGGCCGGGGAAAGCTGCACACAGGGGCCCACTCCCACCTGGCTCCCTGTCCCTTCTCCCCCCCCCCCCCTTCCATGCTTATTTTTCACTGAAAAATGAATGTTGCTCTGCACACCATTCCATTCCTGATCAGCTTGTTCCTTCAGAGAAGCGGGGGTGTATGGCAGGGCGGGCTGAAGGCCAGCTTCCCCAAGGCTCTGTTTTTCAAACATGGGCACAGCCTTGAGTGGACACCACTCTACATAGCAGACCTCTTTCAGGACTATCTGCTCTACTGCAGACTCAAAAGCTACATAAGCCTTAGACTTTATTGTTAGCTATCAGGCCAAATGATTTTATGATTTGAAGTCTGCAATTGAATAAAATGTAAGCTAGTGAGATCATTCAAGTTTAGGGTTTGGCTGCGAAGACACTGGCTCATAGTGGACAGGTGTAGCCTTAAATGGGCTGCTTAGCCTGGTGCTGAGGGACTCCCAAGTGCCTGCTTCATCAGTCTTCTGTACCAAACAGCAGAGATAGATTCCCACACACTGAGCCTTCAGGCCCCTGTGCCAACCAGATGTGCAGCAAGCAGGGCCTATGGCAGCCGTTCATGAAGCAGCCACTTCAGAACTGGAGAGTTCAGATCCTTGGCAGTTGGAGCTGTTTCTTCAGTCTACATGATTGTCTGAGTGCTTGTAACTAGAGCCCACACAGATGTCTCCACTGCTGTCACACTTGCCTCCTGAGGCCTGGGCTGTGGCCAGACCTTACAGGGGTGGGCTCATGAGTCACCATGATTGGGGCTGGGCTGAGCATTGTGGAGGCTCGATTCTCGTGTGCAAGTTCACAGTGTACACACCAAAGTATACATAAGGAGCTTGTGGCATATTTTAGATATGGATGCCAGAGGATAGCCTCATTCATTCAAGGGGTTTGTGCTGCCAACCCCCCACCCCCACCCCCACCCCACCCCAAGGATTTCTCACTGACTGGCTCACCAAGTAAATTAGGTGTCTGGTTGGCTGCCCAGTCCCAGAGATCTGCATGTTTCTACCTCTGCAGCACTGGAATTGTGGATATGGGCCATCAGGCCTGGCTTTTTTCTGTGAATTCTAGGGCTCAAACCTAAGTCTTCAGGCAGCTTTTTACTGACTGGGCCATCTTTCTCCTAGCTTCTAGAGCATTTTTTTTTTAATTATTTTGTGTGTATGGTTTTGCCTGCGTGTGTTTGTGTAAGTGCTTGTCTAGTGTTCTCCAGAGGCCAGAAGAAGATGTTGGATCCCCTAGAACCGGAATTACAGACAGTTAAATACTATGTGGGTGTTGGGAGTTGAACCTAGGTTCTCTGCAAGATCAGCCAGTGCTTTTAACCAGTGAGCTTTCTGCAGCCCCCACTATGGCATTCTAAAATGAAATTCGGACAACACTCAGACCTCATAAATTAGAAACCATGGAATTGCACTTGGTCCTGAAAAGGCAATGTTGGGGAAATGATTCTGGACATTTCTAACAGTTAAATCAAGCTGTTTCGAGGACAGACATGACATGACAGTGTGACCTTTCCCATTGCAAATTTGAGTTCATTGTGAAGAGGGGCCTGGAAGTAGAAGACACTGTCCTCGTCTGTTGGCACAGTAGGACTCTGTTCAGGGGGTGACGCTGATGCATCCATTCCAGGCCCAGCCAGAGTGACCTTCAGACTCCTGTAAAGGAACCTGACTTGTCTTTAAGTATGCAACTGCCATCTTCAGATTCCAGTTGATCATGTGATCATACAGGCCAGCCAGAAAGCTGATTCATTGGCCAACTCCTATCTAACAGGTGTTTAACATTAACACCACTCCCTTCTCATTAACATTTTTGTGGGGTTTTTGGTTTTTTGTTTGTTTTGAGACAGGGTTTCTCTGTGTAGTCCTTGCTGTTCTAGAACTCACTCTGTAGACCAGGCTGCCCCTGAACTTTAGATCCTCTTGCTTCTGCCTCCAAAGTGCTGGTACTGAAGCATGCCCTACCAAGCCTGACCTTGTTTGTTTGTTTGTTTGTTTGTTTGTTTGTTTGTTTGTTTGTTTAATGTGTGTGGACCTGTGCATTGAAGTGCAGGTGCCAGCCAAGGCCAGAGGTTTCTGTGGTCCTGCAGATATGGAGTTAAGTTATGTGCTGCCCGTCATGGGTGAAGGGACTGGAACTCAGGTCCTTTGCAAGAACAGTAGGGGCTCTTGACTATTGAGGAATGAACATTTCCCTTTTTTTTTTTTTTAATTTTATTTTGTCTTTATTTGTTTGTTTGTTTTTCAAGACAGGATTTCTCTGGCTTTGGAGGCTGTCCTGAAACTAACTCTTGTAGACTAGGCTAGTCTTGAACTCACAGAGATCCTGCTGCCTCTGCCTCCTGAGTGCTGGGATTAAAGGCATGCGTCACCACCGCCTGGCAGAAATGAACATTTCCATGCGAATCTGTGTCCTCACTGCCTCTCTCTCCACAGTGAGGGGGTCCAAGCCAGGCAAGAATGTCCAGCTACAGGAGAACGAAATCCGAGGACTCTGCTTGAAGTCTCGGGAGATCTTCCTCAGTCAGCCTATCCTTCTGGAACTTGAAGCACCACTCAAGATATGTGGTGAGTGTGGCACTGAGTGCCTCCGTCACTCAGCTGACCCTCAGTTAGGGCACCTTGGTGACCCTTTATGTTGAGTGAGGTTGGAGCTGTTGAGGAAGTGTTTCCAGCTATTGAGTTTTAAAGTTGTTCTCTGATGGGTACTGCAGCGGGGTTGTGGGGGTAGCCTGGTCTAGTTTGGCTCACTGCTGTATGGAGCAGGTACAGGCCATGGTCTAAAGCTGAGCAGTCTGGGTGGTATGGGTTGCATCTCTGACTCTGGGTAAACCGTGTGTGTTAGGAGTGAAGCTCTTTGGTTTGGCAGCAGTTACAGATGGCGGCTGGTGTGCTGTTAGTGTTGTGAGGGGGCCGGCTCCCTCACTGGACATTGACAAAGGATGTGCTGACATAGGACCCTGACGCTGAGCAGAGGTCTCATGGTGATCTGAGAGGGAAGGAACCACAGTACTTGGCAGGAAGCAAGCTGACACAAGATACTTTCTACCACAAAATAAATTAATTATAGTTGTACCTGTGGTAGGCTGTGGACATGTGCATTTGCCTAACATGGTTAGTTGAACTAAATAGGCTGCAAGATTGGGAATTGGTGTTGGCTTTAAACTTACTAGAGGCTATCTATTGTCACGTGCGATGTATGTTTAAGGGGTGTCTTGCCAAGGTTTTGTCAGTGAACTGAAGGCTCTACAGATGGCAACACTGAGTTCTCATCTCCAGGTGACATCCATGGGCAGTACTATGATTTGCTCCGGCTATTTGAATACGGTGGCTTCCCGCCAGAAAGCAACTATTTGTTTCTTGGGGACTATGTGGACAGGGGCAAGCAGTCACTGGAGACAATCTGCCTCTTGCTGGCCTACAAAATCAAGTATCCGGAGAACTTTTTCCTTCTCAGAGGGAACCATGAGTGTGCCAGCATCAATAGAATCTACGGATTTTACGATGAATGTAAGTACAAGGGGCGGGGCTTGAAGGTGCTGTGCCAGCAAAGCTGGACCACTTGCTGGGCTGGTGAGAGTGGAGCTGCTGCACGTGTGCTGCGCCTCATCCTAGTCTGAGGGAGTGCTGCCTGGACTCGGGTGCTGATGGGATTGGATGGAAAGAGCCACTAATGTCTAGGTGGCTCACAGGACTTTGTTGTTAGTGCCGCTCTGAAAGCCTGTCCAAATGGCCCCGCTCTTCGTGGCTTCCCTTAGATTGGTCCATGGAGTGTCTGTTGAAAACCTGTGAATGCAAGCTGGGCCACAGCTGCAGTTGTCCAGTCTGTTGCTGGTTTGCTGTGCTAGAGGGCGCTGTGTGAAAGTGGGATCTTGCAATGAAATCATTTGTTTCTGGAATGTATGTTGCATTCTTTTAGCACAGCTGTGGTTAGGGAAGAGGCATTAACTTTTTCTGAAATACGCTTAATGAAGAAAGAAATGCTTTAAAAACAACATTTTGGAAGTTCAAGGCCACCCTGGTCTACAAAGCTCCACAGAGAAACACTGTCTCAAAAAACCAAAAAGAAAACCCTACATTTTGGGGTCCTGGAGAGATGGCTCAGTAGTTAAGAGCACTGTTTGCTCTTCCAGAAGACCCAGGTTCAATTCCCAGCACCCACATGGCAGCTCACAGCTATCTGTAACTCCAGTTCCATGGATCCAACACCCTCACACAGGCGTCCCTGCAGGTGAAACACCAATGCACATAAAATAGAGATAAATGGGTCGTTTTTATAAAACCGATTTTGATTTTAAATTGTTTGTGTGTTTGATGTGGAGGGGTGCAGGAATGGAGGTCAGAGTTTGTGGAGTTGACTCTCTGTACCTTTACTTGGGTTCTAGGGATCAACTTGGGCTGCCAGGCTTGCACACTGAGCATTTTACTTCCAGCCATTGCACACCGCCCCCATTTTATTTTAAAATAGTTTTTGTGAGTTTTCTGGCCCATTTTGGGCTATCTCACTTTACTTTGAGTTTTTCTGAAATGGATTGAGTAGCCCATGCTAGCCTCAGCCTTGTGGCTCCTGCTCCAGCTTCCTGGGTATGGGAGCTTCACATGACCACCCCACACAGCTCTGGATTGTCCAATGAGGCTGCACTTTGAATTGATCATTTACAAAAGTGATGCTTCCAAAGCCTTAAAGAATTGTTGTGGGAAAAAGAACTGGTTTGGTGGAGGGTTTGGGTTGTTTCACATAAACAAAATGTCAGGAGTTTTGAGCTGTTGGCTGCACTATCCTTGGTCTGTTTCTGCCATGGGGGTTTGGGCTAGAGTGGCAGGTGTTTAAGGGACTCTGGTGACTTAGCATTGCTCATGTGGCACACACATGCAGCGGTTTGTAGTAAAGTCATGTAGTCTGTAGAGGGTTGGCCATGTGTCCTAGAATGCTGCAGGAAGCCTGGGCACTCAGCATGGGTCTTCTCACCTCAGACACAGAACCTTAATCCAGCCCTCAGCAAAGGCAGTGAGTGACTGCCCAGACGCCAGGTTCAGCCGAGAAAGGAGAACAGGACCAGATGGATTTTGTTTGTTTGTTTGGTTTGGTTTTTCGAGACAGGGTTTCTCTGTATTGCTTTGGAGGCTGTCCTAGAACCCCTTTGTAGACCAGGCTGGCCTCGAACTCACAGAGATCCGCCTGTGCTGGGATTAAAGGTGTGCACCACCAATGCCCAACTCCAGATGGATTTTGAAGTGGGGTCAGGGCCATCTGGCCTCAGTCTGAACATTGATGTTAGTACCTTTAGCCTCTGGTAATTGGAGGTGTTGGCTGTGTTCCTTTAAGTTTCCAGAATTATCCAAGGAATCTGTGTCTCCGGGGAGAGTCCAGGCCTCTACAGGGAGGGAGTGTGGTTTGCCCAGCCTGGAAACATGGATTGGGAAAGCTGTAGTTAGGCCCTGCTGTGACTCCAAGGAGTGAGTCTAGACCTTTAGATGTCCCTGTGTCCCATTAAAAAAGGTAGAGTCTGTGACCTTAGCCAATTAAGAGAATTTGATAGTTGCTAAGACTTGTGAATGGGGTTTTTAATCATATCTCCCCCCCCCCCATTTTTCAAGACAGGGTTTCTCTGTGGCTTTGGAGGCTGTCCTGGAACTAGCTCTTGTAGACCAGGCTGGTCTCGAACTCACAGAGATCTGCCTGCCTCTGCCTCCCGAGTGCTGGGACTAAAGGCGTGCGCCACCACCACCCAGCTTTTCTTTTCTTTTTTTGGGGGGGGGTAATTCAAAACATAATTATCACACAGAATGGTGCTTAAGGGGGACCCCCTGACATTTGTGGAGGGGGCATAACCCTGTAGCCTTGATTCTCTGGGGTGGTGGGTAAGTGAGAACTAACTGATAGGATTGAACATCCCTGTGCCCACGCTAAGCTAGCTGCATGCCCAGAGTCCCTGGACCTCCTGAAGTAGGGGTTTTGGTTCTGTCTGGTTGTCTGGTTGCAGCGAGTGCCAGAGCTCAAGTCCCTAAAGGAAGAGATGATGGCACTTGAGGATGTGGCGGTAATTGTCTTCAGGATTCCCTGAAGTTCCCTCTAGGTCAAGATTAGACAAAGCAGATGAGGCTTCGAATAGAATGGGTGCTCCCACTAATTGTGGCCGACCTGAGGTGTCCCCTGGCTAGAATAATCCCTGTATGGGAATGTATTATTGTTGCCTCTGGATAAACCAGCTCCAGGTGTCCTGTACCCCAGCCCTCCTGAGGCTGCAAGGCCTCTTAATGCTATAGCATGTTTCAGTTACTTGAACAGTAGGGTGACCATCTGCATTCTTACAGGCAAAAGAAGATACAACATTAAGCTGTGGAAAACGTTCACAGACTGTTTTAACTGCTTACCGATAGCAGCCATCGTGGATGAGAAGATTTTCTGCTGTCATGGAGGTATGTGTAATTTCCACCCCTTCTAAAAGGTAGACTGTTGTGCATGCGCTAGGACTTGTCCATGGGGACATAGCAGCTGTCAGTTGGGTCAAGTGTGAGGGCAGGTTGAAAATAGGTCGTATTTTTAATATAAAATGAACCCTAGTATGTCTGCTCAGCTGTGTGTTTTCTTGGACCTTCTGACTGGGGTTCCTTCCAAAAGTGGTTTTGCTTTGCTTCATGGCTATGCTGTGTGTGAGGTATACAGAAATTGCAAGGCGATGATACTGGAAATTAAGCAGCTATCAAAACCACAGGCTTTATTAAGGCACAGTCTACTCTGTGTCCTCTGTAGATTTGGAGGTTGTGGACAGCAGAGGCTCTGGAGCTGCCTCACAGTTGAACGATGTCCCTGGGCCCAGCCATTGCATGTGGTGACTGATGGTGGCACCTGGTGTGTCCACCTTGCTGCCCTCTGTCGGGAGAGGTGTGGATTCAGGGTACTGAATGTTGACTTCACAGTGCTCTGTGTTGAGGTGACTGTCCCTGTGCCTTGCACACCAGTACAGTAAATTTTGTGCATATTTGGTGGCAGAGTTTTATTGCATTGTTTTGATCAAAACCAAGTAAACAGAAGAGCCACAGGTTTGAGTGCAGCTGTTGGCAGCAGCAGCCTCTGCAGACAGCCTCTTCTAACAATTCTGCTTCTTCAGTGTTCTTTCCTGTCTCCTTGAATAGGTTTATCACCAGATCTTCAATCTATGGAGCAGATTCGGCGAATTATGAGACCAACTGATGTACCAGATCAAGGTCTTCTTTGTGATCTTTTGTGGTCTGACCCCGATAAAGATGTCTTAGGCTGGGGTGAAAATGACAGAGGAGTGTCCTTCACATTTGGTGCAGAAGTGGTTGCAAAATTTCTCCATAAGCATGATTTGGATCTTATATGTAGAGCCCATCAGGTATTGATTTTGAATTTTACATGTACACTTAGAGCATGTGTGTGAGCAGGTTCTCCTTGTTGATTTTGGTGGGTAGGTATGGCTTGCCACACAGTGTGCCTCTGGGGAGAGCGGCAGGAGGCCAAGCTCAGTGGGGAACGAGAGCGGCACAGCTCAGCCTGCAGCCACTCACACTGACACTGTCTTTCCGCAGGTGGTTGAAGATGGGTATGAGTTTTTTGCAAAGAGGCAGTTAGTCACTCTGTTTTCTGCACCCAACTACTGTGGCGAGTTTGACAATGCAGGCGCCATGATGAGTGTGGATGAAACCCTCATGTGCTCCTTCCAGGTGAGACAGTGGCGGCTTTTCATGACTCCAGAGAAACAGCGCTCCCTGTTGTTTCCTGGGTGGACTGTTTTCTTCTCCAGTGACCTGTGTTTGTCCCATGGGAGTCCTTGCAGGCTCTTTCCAAAGGAAGGAAAAATAACAGGACCTTTCCCCAGTGTTGAATTTAGGTGTAGTTGAATTCTTTGAGAAGTGAAAGCAAATGATGTGTTGCATCATCAATTTATAGATAGTGCTTTGGGGTCTGCAGATGGCTTTTTTGGAACAGTCTATGTAGCCCTTGCTGGCCCAGAACTCCATATGTAGACCAGGCTGGCCTCTAACTTAATAGACAGACCTACCTGCCTCTGCCTCCTGAGCGCTGAGGCTAGAGGTGATATGTGCCACCACATGGGGCTCCTTTGCCAGAATATCATCTCCAGTTGTTGGGGTTGGGCTGTTTCTCACATTCAGTGTAGTAGGTCACTCAGCTGTGAATGTCAGTGTAGCCATGGAAGTCCTGAGGCAGCCCAAAGCACACACACCCCACCCCACCCCCAGACTGCAGACTCTGCCTTCCACAGAACTCCCCAAGGTTGTGGGAGCTCTCTAGACTTTATCACTTTACCCAGACAGGAACTTTTTTTTGCCAAGTTGCGTATTCTAGCTGTATATATTCTGGCACATCTCCAGCAAAATGCTCGAGCACTAGTAGCTGGGTCTGTGTGATGTGTAGAAGGGTTTTCTGAGTTTGGGGTAGGGCAGTGTTAGGCAGGAACTTGTGAATGGAAGATGAGGACAAGACTGAGAACCTGCATACATTTCCTAAGGTGCCTGGTATCTTTCCGTCTTCACAGATTTTAAAGCCTGCAGAGAAGAAGAAGCCCAACGCCACGAGACCCGTCACACCGCCAAGGGGTATGATCACAAAGCAAGCAAAGAAATAGATGTCACTTGACACTGCCTGGTTGGGACTTGTAACATAGCGTACATAACCTTCATTTTTAAACTGTAATGTGTGCTGGTCAGCTTGCCCAGGTCGACCTGCCGGGCCCTCCTCCATTTTGGTTACCGCTGGCACTCACTGGTTATAGCAGCGAGTGGAAGCGCGTCATTCTCAAGAAAGCGTTTTTGTTTTTAACCTCTGTTCCCTTTGCAGACAACTCTGATGATGGTGTTAAGCTATACACCTCGGCAGGTTATCCTGTCGAGGGGCAAGTGTACTATTGGTCTTTTTTTAATTTAGTATAAATCATGAATAATGTAAATGCTTGTTTTCTTTAGGATATACAGAAAGCCCTAGGGTGCGTGAGTCTGTACATGTCATTGTCATAAATGCATTCTGTTGATATGAACCACTGTGAACAATTTTTTTAAGTTTGTTTGAAAGGGACTGCTTTTCCTCTTTGTCTTGTTATGTACAAATAGTGTCTGCGGCGACAGCAGCAGGCATGACCTGCTGCCTGCCCTGCCCAGACTGTCTGAAGCACACTCCCTCCCACCGCACACTTAATGACGATTAAAGCCATTCTTTTCAATGTTTGTGATTCCTTCCTAAAGCCAAAGTTTCTGTTGGACTGTATTGGCACGCCCTGGACATGAGGTGGCCAGGGCATTGAGGCTGCGTGCACAGGCCGCCTCCGTGGGGACTCAGAAGCAGGTTTTTATTTTAAATAGCAATAGTGATTTAGTGCTGGGTAAGCTATTAATGATGGAAGTTAATGACACTTTGTACAATTCCCAGATAGTCTATTCACTGAGTAATCTTTTTACAGTTGGATCAGGCCTGAACCCGTCCATTCAGAAAGCTTCAAATTATAGAAACAACACTGTCCTATACGAGTGACCGATAGCGCTTTCTTTGGCTACATTCTTTATTCTGCGGTGATGCTGAGGCTTATAAATCAAAAGGAACTAACTTGCCGTCCACCCGTTTATACAGAACTCACAGTATCTATGACTTTTTTAATCTACGACCTGTTAAAATGAATCTGTTTCCACAGATGCCCGTGTACAATGCCATGTGCTGAGAATGACTTCAGACTTATTAAATGCGAGCTTGTTAACCTGTCCGTGTCTGTCTGTCTGTCTGGTGGCG